CAGGTGAGTGGAGTGATGCATTGACTCACAAGTGAGTGGAGTGATTCGTTGACTCACAGGTGAGTTGATTGATTCGTTGACTCACAGGTGAGTGGAGTGATGCGTTGACTCACAGGTGAGTGGAGTGATTCGTTGACTCACAGGTGAGTGGAGTGATGCGTTGAATCACAGGCGAGTGGAGTGATGCGTTGACTCACAGGTGGGTGGAGTGATGCGTTGACTCACAGGTGAGTGGAGTGATTCGTTTACTCACAGGTGAGTGGATTGATTCGTTGACTCACAGGTGAGTGGAGTGATGCATTGACTCACAGGTGAGTGGAGTGATTCGTTGACTCACAGGTGAGTGGAGTGATGCGTTGAATCACAGGCGAGTGGAGTGATGCGTTGACTCACAGGGGGGTGGAGTGATGCGTTGACTCACAGGTGAGTGGAGTGATGCGTTGACTCACAGGTGGGTGGAGTGATGCGTTGACTCACAGGTGAGTGAAGTGATGCGTTGACTCACAGGTGAGTAGAGTGATGCGTTGACTCACAGGTAAGTGGAGTTATGGGTTGACTCACAGGTGAGTGGAGTGATGCGTTGACTCACAGGTATGTGGAATGATGCATTGACTCACAGGTTGGTGGAGTGATGCGTTGACTCACAGGTGGGTGGAATGATGCATTGACTCACAGGTTGGTGGAGTGATGCGTTGACTCACAGGTGAGTGGAGTGATGCGTTGACTCACAGGTGGGTGGAGTGATGCGCTGATTCACAGGTGAGTGGAGTGATGCGTTGACTCACAGGTGGGTGGAATGATGCATTGACTCACAGGTTGGTGGAGTGATGCGTTGTTTCACAGGTGGGTGGAGTGATGTGTTGACTCACAGATGAGTGGAGTGATGAATTGACTCACAAATGAGCGGAGTGATGCGTTGACTCACAGGTGAGTGGAGTGATGCGATGATTCACAGGTGAGTGGAGTGATGCGTTGACTCACAGGTGAGTGGAGTGATGCGTTGACTCACAGGTGAGTGGAGTGATGCGTTGACTCATAGGTGAGTGGAGCGATGCGTTGACTCACAGGTGAGTGGAGTGATGCGTTGATTCACAGGTGAGTGGAGTGATGCGTTGACTCACAGGTGAGTGGAGTGATGCGTTGACTCACAGGTGAGTGGAGTGATGCGTTGATAAATAGGTGAGTGGAGTGATGCGTTGACTCACAGGTGAGTGGAGTGATGCGTTGACTCACAGGTGAGTGGAGTGATGCGTTGACTCATAGGTGAGTGGAGTGATGCGTTGACTCACAGGTGAGTGGAGTGATGCGTTGACTCACAGGTGAGTGGAGTGATGCATTGACTCATAGGTGAGTGGAGTGATGCGTTGACTCACAGGTGAGTGGAATGATGCATTGACTCACAGGTGAGTGGAGTGATGCATTGACTCATAGGTGAGTGGAGTGATGCGTTGACTCATAGGTGAGTGGAGTGATGCGTTGACTCAAGGTGAGGGGAAAGTGATGCGTTGACTCATAGGTGAGTGGAGTGATGCGTTGACTCATAGGTGAGTGGAGTGATGCATTGACTCATAGGTGAGTGGAGTGATGCGTTGACTCATAGATGAGTGGAGTGATGCGTTGACTCACAGGTAAGTGGAGTGATGCGTTGACTCAAAGATGAGTGGAGTGATGCTTTGGCTCATAGGTGAGTGGAGTGATGCATTGACTCATAGGTGAGTGGAGTGATGCATTGACTCATAGGTGAGTGGAGTGATGCGTTAATTCATAGGTGAGTGGAGTGATGCATTGACTCAGGTGAGTGGAGTGATGCGTTGACTCACAGGTGAGTGGAGTGATGCAGTGACTCACAGGCGAATGGAATGATTCGTTGACTCCCCAGGTGAGTGGAGTGATGCGTTGACTCACAGTGGAGTGGATTTGATGCGTTGACTCACAGGTGAGTGGATTGATTAGTTGACTCACAGGTGAGTGGAGTGATTCGTTGACTCACAGGTGAGTGGAGTGATGCATTGACTCACAGGTGAGTGGAGTGATTCGTTGACTCACAGGTGAGTTGATTGATTCGTTGACTCACAGGTGAGTGGAGTGATGCGTTGACTCACAGGTGAGTGGAGTGATTCGTTGACTCACAGGTGAGTGGAGTGATGCGTTGAATCACAGGCGAGTGGAGTGATGCGTTGACTCACAGGTGGGTGGAGTGATGCGTTGACTCACAGGTGAGTGGAATGATGCGTTGAATCACAGGCGAGTGGAGTGATGCGTTGACTCACAGGTGGGTGGAGTGATGCGTTGACTCACAGGTGAGTGGAGTGATGCGTTGACTCACAGGTGGGTGGAGTGATGCGTTGACTCACAGGTGAGTGAAGTGATGCGTTGACTCACAGGTGAGTAGAGTGATGCGTTGACTCACAGGTAAGTGGAATGATGCATTGACTCACAGGTGAGTGGAGTGATGCATTGACTCATAGGTGAGTGGAGTGATGCGTTGACTCATAGGTGAGTGGAGTGTTTTGCGTTGACTCATGGGTGAGTGGAGTGATGCGTTGACTCATAGGTGAGTGGAGTGATGCGTTGACTCATAGGTGAGTGGAGTGATGCATTGACTCATAGGTGAGTGGAGTGATGCGTTGACTCATAGATAAGTGGAGTGATGCGTTGACTCACAGGTGAGTGGAGTGATGCATTGACTCATAGGTGAGTGGAGTGATGCGTTGACTCATAGATGAGTGGAGTGATGCGTTGGTTCATAGGTGAGTGGAGTGATGCATTGACTCATAGGTGAGTGGAGTGATGCATTGACTCATAGGTGAGTGGAGTGATGCGTTGATTCATAGGTGAGTGGAGTGATGCATTGACTCAGGTGAGTGGAGTGATGCGTTGACTCACAGGTGAGTGGAGTGATGCAGTGACTCACAGGCGAGTGGAATGATTCGTTGACTCACAGGTGAGTGGAGTGATGCGTTAACTCACAGGTGAGTGGAGTGATGCGTTGACTCACAGGTGAGTGGATTGATTAGTTGACTCACAGGTGAGATGAGTGATTCGTTGACTCACAGGTGAGTGGAGTGATGCATTGACTCACAGGTGAGTGGAGTGATTCGTTGACTCACAGGTGAGTTGATTGATTCGTTGACTCACAGGTGAGTGGAGTGATGCGTTGACTCACAGGTGAGTGGAGTGATGCGTTGACTCACAGGTGAGTGGAGTGATGCGTTGAATCACAGGCGAGTGGAGTGATGCGTTGACTCACAGGTGGGTGGAGTGATGCGTTGACTCACTGGTGAGTGGAGTGATGCGTTGACTCACAGGTGGGTGAGTGATGCGTTGATCCCAGGTGAGGGGAAGTGATGCTTTTGACTCACAGGTGAGTAGAGTGATGCGTTGACTCACAGGTAAGTGGAGTTATGGGTTGACTCACAGGTGAGTGGAGTGATGCGTTGACTCACAGGTGGGTGGAGTGATGCGTTGATTCACAGGTGAGTGGAGTGATGCGTCGACTCACAGGTGGGTGATGTGATGCATTGATTCACAGGTGGGTGGAGTGATGCATTGACTCACAGATGGAAATGACGCGTTTACTCACAAGTGGGTGAAGTGATGCATTGACTCACAGGTGAGTGGAGTGATGCGTTGACTCACAGATGGAAATGACGCGTTTACTCACAAGTGGGTGAAGTGATGCATTGACTCACAGGTGAGTGGAGTGATGCGTTGACTCACAGGTGGGTAGTGTGAAGCATCGACTCACAGGTGGGTGGAATGATCCGTTGACGCACATGTGGGTGGAGAGATGCATTAACTCACAGGTGGGTGGTGTGATGCATTGAGTCAAAGGTGAGTGGAATGATGCGTTGACGCACAGGTGGGTGGTGTGATGCATTGACGCACAGGTAGGTGGAGTGATGCGTTGACTCACAGGTGGGTGGAGTGATGCATTGACTCACAGGTGGGTGGTGTGATACACTGACGCACAGGTGGGTGAAGTGATGCGTTGACTGAAAGGTGGGTGGAGTGATGCGTTGACGCACAGATGGGTGGAGTGATGTGTTGACTCGCAGGTGGGTGGATTCATACGTTGACGTACAGTTAGCTGGAATGATGCGTTGGCGTACAGGTGGGTGGAGTGATGCGCTGACTCACAAGTGGGTGAAGTGATGCATTGACTCACAGGTGGGTGGAGTGATACGTTGATTCACATGTGGGTGGAGTGATGCGTTGACTCACAGGTGGGTGAAATGGTGCGTTGACTCACAGGTGGGTGAAGTGGTGCGTTGACTCACAAGTCGGTGAAGTCATGTGTTGGCTCATAGGTGGGTGGTTTGAAGCATTTACTCACAGGTGGGCGGGGGTGATGCGTTGACGCACAAGTGGGTGAAGATAAGATAAGATGAGATAAGATTTCGTTCGGATTTTTAGCCCCGAAGGGTTAGCCACCCAGGATAACCTAAGAATGTCAGTGCGTCATCGAGGACTGTCTAACTTATTTCCATTGGGGTCCTCAATCTTGTCCCCCAGGATGCGACCCACACCAGTCGACTAACACCCAGGTACCTATTTGCTGCTAGGTGAACAGGACAACAGGTGTAAGGAAACGTGTCGAAATGTTTCCACCCGCCGGGAATCGAACCCGGGCCCTCTGTGTGTGAAGCGGGAGCTTTAGCCACCAGGCCATATATGTAGGAATACTTAACTCAGACTGCAAAGCGATCGATATGCATTCAGTCTTGCTGCTGACTGTTCGTTCTTGTTGAGTTCCAAATTATAGCTATGATTCTTAATGCTTGTACAGTACATCTGTCTTCATCTGTAATTCACTGATTGTTCTATTATTCAAACATTATCTTACTTCCATTATAATTCTATATATTGCAATGTGAAATTCTTTGCAATATTTAATAATTTAATGACATAACGATAACATATGTTGATGTTATATGATAGCATTACATTGTTCTCTGAGGTTTTTGTTAATGTTTAAAACATTGTTCACAATGTTTTAGCCACGATACGGAAGCTGGGTCGGCCACCACACCTCATCATGAGAATAATGGATTCTGTACTTATACTGTTCCAACGGCACCTGCAGCCCGTCAAGCCAGATTCTATTGCCCCCTGCCCCAAGCCTTCTTGGCCTGAAAGCCTTAAGGTAATATTGCTCTTGCTTTTCACTGACTTTGAATTTTCAAGGTATCTCTGCTTCAGTACTACAGCATAATTCGTTACCAGTATGAAAAAAATTTATAGTTTCCTTCCTTGTCAGTAACTCATTGTTATTTCTCCATGTTTCTGGTACGGTATACTCAAATTTATTGTTGCTTCCACTCCCTCTTCTAAAAATTTTCTCCCACATTCCTTATATCCTTTACTCCCAAAAATTACCAGAAGTATTGAGTCAGAGTATCAAGGTAGGCAACTCCCCAACCTCTTCATAGACTATTATAATATCATATTAATTTACACACACTGGTCACTATGACTCTGCAGATGATGGCGAGCACAACATTCCTGCTATCGCTGCAGAACTTTCCCAAGGATACCATTAATGATGAGGTGGTGGAGTTGCTGGAGCCCTACTTTGACATGGAGGACTATGACATGGACACAGCTAAGCGGGTGTGTGGTGACGTGGCCGGTCTTCTCTCCTGGACTCGAGCAATGGCAGTTTTCTTCGGTGTCAACAAAGAGGTCCTGCCCCTAAAGGTATGATGGTGTCACTGAAACTATTGCACCAAAATATCATTTACGTGGTCTCATGAATGTTCTTCGTGTACCTGGAGTTTACCTGGAGAGAGTTCCGGGGGTCAACGCCCCCGCGGCCAGGTCTGTGACCAGGCCTCCTTAGGTCAGTGTCCCAGGATGCGACCCACACCAGTCGACCAACACCCAGGTACCCATTTTACTGATGGGGAACATAAACAACAGGTTGAAAGAAACACGTCCAATGTTTCTACTCTGGCTGGGAATCGAACCCAGGCCCTCACCGTGTGAAGCGAGAGCGTTAACCACCAGGCCACCAGAGCACAGGTTTTTTTACTTAAGTGCTAATTTTGATTAGAAAAAGTGTCAAAGCAGAACTTAAATATTAATAATGATAATAGAGATTATAAGATTATAATGATTATCAGCATTTAATTCCGCTATTTTTTAACGTTAATCTTTCCCAAGGTAAAGAAATACACACACACACACACACACACACACACACACACACACACACACACACACACACACACACACACACACACACACACGGGCAACAGGCAACACAAGGGCAACAGAAACAATGGGAAGACCAGAACGAGCCCCTGGTTTACCCGACGGTGTAAGGAGGCAAAAACAAAGTCCAATAGAGAATGGAAAAAGTACAGAAGGCAGAGAACACATGAAAATAGGGAGATCAGTCGCAGAGCCAGAAACGAGTATGCATAGGTAAGGAGGGAGGCCCAGCGACAGTATGAAAATAACATAGCATCGAAAATCAAGACTGACCCGAAACTGTTGTATAGCCACATCAGGAGGAAGACAACAGTCAAAGACCAGGTGATCAAATTGAGGACAGAAGGTGGAGAACTCACAAGAAATGATCAGGAGGTATGTGAAGAGCTAAACAGGAGATTTAAGGAAGTTTTTACAGTAGAGACAGGAAGGGCTTTGGGAATTCAGCACAGAAGGGAACATCAAGAGGGAATATACCAACAAGTGTTGGATGACATACGAACAACCGAGGAGGAGGTGCAGAAGCTGCTAAGTGACCTTGATACCTCAAAGGCGATGGGACCGGACAACATCTCCCCATGGGTCCTTAGAGAAGGAGCAGAGATGCTGTGTGTGCCCCTAACCACAATCTTCAACACATCCCTTGAAACTGGGCATCTACCTGAGAAATGGAAGACAGCAAATGTAGTCCCCATATTTAAGAAAGGAAACAGAAATGAGGCACTAAACTACAGACCTGTGTCTCTGACATGTATTGTGTGCAAAGTCATGGAAAAGATTATCAGGAGGAGAGTGGTGGAACACCTGGAACGGAACAAGATTATAAATGAAAACCAGCATGGGTTCATGGAAGCCAAATCCTGTGTCACAAACCTTCTGGAGTTTTATGACAAGGTAACAGAAGTAAGACACGAGAGAGAGGGGTGGGTTGATTGCGTTTTCCTAGACTGCAGGAAGGCCTTTAACACAGTTCCCCACAAGAGATTAGTGCAGAAGCTGGAGGATTAGGCGCATATAACAGGGAGGGCACTGCAATGGATCAGGGAATACCTGACAGGGAGGCAACAACGAGTCATGGTACGTGAAGAGGTATCACAGTGGGCGCCTGTGACGAGCGGGGTCCCACAAGGGTCAGTTCTAGGACCAGTGCTATTTTTGATATATGCGAACGACATGATGGAAGGAATAGACTCTGAAGTGTCCCTATTCGCAGATGATGTGAAGTTGATGAGAAGAATTAAATCGGATGAGGATGAGGCAGGACTGCAAAGAGACCTGGACAGGCTGGACATGTGGTCCAGAAACTGGCTTCTCGAATTCAATCCTGCCAAATGCAAAGTCATGAAGATTGGGGAGGGGCAAAGAAGACCGCAGACAGAGTATAGGCTAGGTGGACAAAGACTACAGACCTCACTCAGGAAGAAAGACCTTGGGGTGACCATAACACCGAGCACGTCGCCGGAGGCACACATCAACCAAATAACTGTTGCAGCATACGGGCGCCTGGCAAACCTGAGAATAACGTTCCGATACCTTAATAAGGAATCGTTCAAGACACTGTACACTGTGTATGTTAGGCTCATACTGGAGTATGCAGCACCAGTCTGGAACCCACACCTGGTCAAGCACGTCAAGAAGTTAGAGAAAGTACAAAGGTTTGCAACAAGGCTAGTCCCAGAGCTCAGGGGAATGTCGTACGAGGAAAGGTTGAGGGAAATCGGACTGACGACACTGGAAGACAGAAGGGTCAGGGATGACATGATAACGACATACAAGATACTGCGGGGAATAGACAAGGTGGACAGAGATAGGATGTTCCAGAGAGGGGACACAGAAACAAGGGGTCACAACCGGAAGCTGAAGACTTAGACGAGTCACAGGGACGTTAGGAAGTATTTCTTCAGTCATATAGTCGTCAGGAAGTGGAATAGCCTAGCAAGTGAAGTAGTGGAGGCAGGAACCATACATAGTTTTAAGAAGAGGTATGACAAAGCTCAGGAAGCAGAGAGGGAGAGGACCTAGTAGCGATCAGTGAAGAGGCGGGGCCAGGAGCTGAGTCTCGACCCCTGCAACCACAATTAAGTGAGTACAATTAGGTGAGTACACACACATACACACACACAGACACACACACAGACACAACACACACACACACACACACACACACACACACACACACACCACACACACACACACACACACACACACACACAACACACACACATACACACACACTACACACACATACACACACATACACCACATACACACACAACACACACACACACACACACACACACACACACACACACACACACACACACACACACACACACACACACACACACACACACACACACACACACACACACACACACACACACACATACACACACATACACACACAACACACACACACACAACACACACACACACACACACACACACACACACACACACACACACCCCAACACACACACACACCACACACACGCACAACACAACGCACACACGCACACACACACACACACACACACACACATACACACATACACACACATACACACACACACACACACACACATACACACACACACACACACACACACACACACACACACACACACACACACACACACACCGAGGAGGTCAATGGCTGCAAAACTCACTCAAATAATGGGATCTTGGGGTGAGCATCATATTGAGCACATCAACTGAGGCATATGGGTGCCTGACAAACCTGAGAATAGCGTTTCAACATCTAAGTAAGGAGCCATTCACGACACAATACACCATGTACGTCAGGCCCATATTGGAGTATGGAGCTCCCGCATGGAACCCAAACATAATCAAACACGTCAAGAAATTAAGAGAAAATGCAAAATTTTGGAACAAGACTCGTCCCGAATCTGAGGGGTTTCTCCTACGAGGAGAGGTTAAGGGAACTCAAGCTGACAACAATGGAAGACATGAGGGATAGAGTAAACATGATAATGACATATAAAATACTGAGAGGAATTGACAAGGTGGATAGATACAGAATGTTTAAGAGATAGGACACAGCAACAAAGGGTCACAACTGAAAGTTGAAAACTTACATGAGTCACAGGGATGTTAGGAAGTACTTCTTCATTCATGGTATCAGGAAGTGGAACAATTTGGAGAGTGATGTGGTGGAGGCAGGAACCATACATAGCTTTAAGAAGAGGTATGATAAAGCTCATTGAGCAGGGAGAGAGTAGACCTTGTAGCGATTAGCGAAGAGGCGGGCCCAGAAGCTATGAATCGACCCCTGCAACTTCAATTAGGTGAGTACAGGAGGCTGAGTGGCTCTCCAAATAAAAAATCAGTAGAGTTTTGAAAAAATAAGAGGATTAAAAATACGAGAGGCACACGACTTCAGTGCATACTGGGCTTAGTTAATACTGGGAAACTCAGAGTAATAACAAGAGACCACAGTAATAACATGAAGACAACAACAAAACTATGTCTGACAGCATAGCTGATTCAGTTAGAAGAGTGCACAGGACCAAGGCAAAGTTACTTACCATTGGTAATTTCAGCCATAAAGAAATAGATATGGAAAACTGGGACCCCACTGGGAAAATGGAAAAGTGGAAGGTTAAACTGATGGAGGTAGTCAGGCAAAACTTTATGAGCCAGCATGTTGAGTATACAAAAGGAAGATGTGTCAGAAAGGCTGGACCCAGGGTTTCCTGCAAGTATGTCAGATATATGAGAAATAGAATACGAGAGTAACCTAGGTGCCAGCGACCATGTAGTAGTTAACTTGGAAGTATTTTGTGGAACTAAACGTAGAGAGAAGGTTGGCAAGTGGAGGGTCAGCGAAGCCAGACTTTAGAAAAGAGAAGCTTCCAGGAATGAGAGAATTTTTTTAATGCAATTCACTGGAAAAGGGAACTAGAAGGAAAAATCATAGGATAAGATGATGAGTACATAGTTGCGAAGTGCCGGGAGGCAGAGGTAAACTTCACGAAGAATGGGAAATAGAAAATTCAAAGAGAGCTCGTGGTTCAGCCAAAGATGCAGAGGCAAAAAGAGAGAATAAAAGAATGGAAAAAAAGATAAATGAGAACAGAGAAATAAGCAGATTAGCCAGAAATAAATATGAAATGGTGACGGGAGAGGCCGAGGAACAATTTGACTATGACTTACCAAAAGCTCCTTCACAGCCATACAAAAAACAACAGTGGTAAAAGGTCAGGTAATTTGACTGAACTAAGGAGAGCTCATGGAAAATGGCAAGGAAATATACGAAGTGCTGAACAAACAACTTGGAGAGATCTCAGTGGAAACCTGGGCAATGCCAGAAATTCAAGGGAAAAAAAAGTACATCAGCAGATGCAGGCAAGTTGATAGGCAGGCCAGGAGCTAAGGTTCAACCCCTGCAACCACATAAAAGTGAACACACACACATAGGTACACATAACTCAGTCCCAATACAGTAAGTCCTCACTTAACGTCGTTTTGTTACAACGTCGATAAGAAAAAGAAATCAAGTCTCAGTCAGGAATGGAAAATATGGAATTTTAGATATCTGGACGGAGAGTATGCATCAACGTAACTCTCCATATTTGTTTACGCCAGTTTCCTTCCTTATGGCTGTTTGTATTCGGTTTTTACGATATGTAGCCTGTTTCTTATATAATTCTGAATAATAGAGTAAATATACGACTTTATAGTGCTCCAGAGCGACGTACTCCATAGTCATGGTGTCTTCAGCACTACTGCCCTCCTTCTCAACTCTCCTTTGCCGTAGGAACTTAACTCTTGTTTATATCAATTAGCCTATGGTAAATTGGTTTCGTTATACGTCGTTTCACATAGAGTCGCAGTTTCCAAGACTCTATCGACAACGTTAAATGAGGAGTTCCTGCATATCAAATATCAAATAAATCAGTCTATAATATAGTTCTTATGTTGCACCTACAAGTCAAACCTGGCACTGCAAGAAGCACGCTTGCGTCTGGCAATGGGTGACCTGGAGAGAGCTCAGGCAGAGCTGGATGACAAGCAGCGAGAGTTGGATGTTGTAAGGGGTCAATACCAGACTGCACTTGCAGAGAAACAAAAACTCATTGATGCAGCAAATGTTTGTCGTCGGAAGATGCAGGCTGCGGCCACCCTCATCAATGGTTTGGCTGGAGAGAAGGTACGCTGGACCAAGCAAAGCAAGGCACTTAAACAGCAACTTGGAAGGTGAGTCGAGACATTTATAATTACCTGTTTGTTGTATAAGGAGTAAAACTTGTTTACGGCGACCCATTTTTAATTTACTGTTTATATTATTACATGTGTTGCGTATTTTAAAAATTGTTGCATGCTCAGATTTCTTTCGGTAAATTATTGCTAGTTTAAGTGCATGGGTTCCAAGTGGCTGAACGACAAGTAATCAGAGAGACTTTTCCTACTAAACTGATGTAGTTCACGACATACAGACATCTTCAGTATTACTTAATTTTTGTACGTTTGTAGAGTACATGCTGTTTACACTGACCTGTAAATCTTTAATTCATATGTATTGTACTAGAATTGCCGTGAGAGAAGTGCTATAATTGCATGTTATAAAGCATTTACAAATTTAATGGTTAAAAAACAAATTAAAATTGTTCATTTGGCTGGTGAGATGGAAGTTATAAAAGTAAATTCCTTAAGACAGATAAGTTAATTATCCTTATGCGAGAGAAAGGATGAATGTTAAGGCTGAGTTAACAGAGCTGCTTATTACTGACCGATTTTAACATGGTACAGATAGTGGAAATATAAACACATATGCAGTATAATGTGATCCTTTATTGACAACGTTTCGCCCACACAGTGGGCTTCTTCAAGTCACAAACAGATCTGTTTGTGACTTGAAAAAAGACTACTGTGTGGGCGAAACATTGTCAATAAAGAATCACATTATACTGCATATGTATTTATATTTCCATTGTGTCGGTATTTTATACCATTTATTTCCATGGTACAGATAGTCCTTGGCAAGGCAAGACTAATGTACCTTAAAGATGTTTTACCCCTTAAATGGTCCAAACGTATATATACGTTTTTTTCAACATCTGAAAGTATGTAAAAAAATTTAGATCTTTTTTTTTCTGTTTTACATGTGAAAACGTGTAAAAAAAAATTTTTATCTACATTTTTTTTGTTATATTTGAAAATATGTAAAAAAAAGTGGATCTACTTTTGTAGCACTACGAATTTGAACGTCGATCTGCTTGGACCATTAAGGGTTACAGACCTTGTCAAGCCTATGAATGAAGGACTGTTAGGCTGTGTTGACAGATCACTTGAACTGAAACACACCGGTAGACATATAACTCCTTTTTTCAGGTTGGTTGGGGATGTGCTGTTAACGACAGCGTTCCTCTCATATGCAGGGCCTTTCAATCAAGAATACCGCACAAAGATGACCAAGGCCTGGCGCTCGCTCTTCAACTCCCGTCACATTCCCTACACCGTAGACCTGGATGTCACCACTTGGCTTATTGACAATGCTACTGTACATTGAATTTTCTTTATTGTCCCCTTCTCCCTCTTTCTCGTACGCTCTCTCTTTTTCTTCCTTTTATTGTTCCATAAGTCTTTGTGACTTCAGACTATATAACAATTCATAGCAAAGATTCTAGATTTATTTATTATAAGAAATATTTTCCTAACACAAAGCATATAAATTCTCACTATATTCTACAATGCAGGTGACGGAGTGGAATCTCCAAGGGCTCCCGAACGACGAGCTTAGCATCCAGAACGGCCTCATCGTTAGCAAAGCCTCCTGCTATCCGCTTCTCATTGATCCTCAAGGACAGGGAAAAATTTGGATAAAAAACAGAGAGGCTATGAATGAACTGCAGGTTAGTTATATACGTGCAAATGTAAATTTTGTTAAATTTCAGACAGTTGGTGCTAAAGCTGTCGGTGATCTGCACATTGTTCACAAAACTGTTAGTGAACTATACATCGTTCACAAAGTGTGGATGATCTGCACATCGTTCACAAAGTGTGGGTGATCTGCACATCGTTCACAAAGTGTGGGTGATCTGCACATCGTTCACAAAGTGTGGGTGATCTGCACATCGTTCACAAAGTGTGGATGATCTGTACATTGTTCACGAAACTTTAGATGATCTCATCGTTCAAAGAGTCAAGGGTTATTTACCTGTTGGTCAAAAAGTCATCAGTGAACTGCCTGTCATTCCCAGAATTATGAGGCTCTATCATGCCAACACATCCTCGTAAATGTTATATGTATGTCTCACATATAATTTGTAGCAAATTTCTCGATTTTCATTATTTATGCTAGGATATGTTATTTTTGGTAGGTTAGCCTGACCTCTGACTATAAAAAATAATTGATTATTACATACCACAACTGAAATAAATGAAAAAAAAAAGATAAAGGCAATAAAAAAGTCTGTCGTATGGAAATAAAATGGGTACCCACCATGTATAGTCGAAAAATATATGTAAAAAAATCTGTTTAAGGCATCATTATTAGTGAAATTCTGTTTGATGTTAAGAAGACGAGCTGGTCATTCTGACAACCGTGGTCGATGTTCCTGTTATTCACAGGAAACAAAAAAGTAAGAGTACATGATATAATCAACACTGAAGCAAAGTATGCCAATCAATAAACGTAACTCAAAAAATAGAGATACCATTACAAGGCTATTTAGATTTTTCTTCAGTATTCTTTACAAAACCTTTCCGAAAACTTAATGATATTTTTTTAACAGTGATAAAGCAGAAGTCAAAATCAAACTAAAGAACGCTGGAAAGATGCCATTACTGAGACAAATCTCTTAATTTACACAATAAAAAGCTCTAGGGAGTGATAAAAAACATACAATTGCATTTATTGGTGGGAGGAAACGAGAAAAGAAACAAAAATTAGATTTTACTATATATATATATATATATATATATATATATATATATATATATATATATATATATATATATATATATATATATATATATAAACACTGATCTCTGGCTGAAGGAGACTCGAACCTACGAACCTTGGAACAAGTTGCGCAGTGCTTTACCAATTTACCCACACTGGACCAATTGGTCCAGTGTGGGTAGATTGGTAAAGCACTGCGTACCTTGTTCCAGGGTTCGTAGGTTCGAGTCTCCTTCAGCCAGAGATCAGTGTTTGTGTATATTTCGCCTGCTCTTGCGAATTCCTTGTATATATATATATATATATATATATATATATATATATATATATATATATATATATATAATATATATATATTATATATATAAATTTGTCATTCTCATTATGTTCTTGATAGCAACTACGTGAGACTTACTATTCACTTGCAGATTTCCTCACTGAACCACAAGTATTTCCGCACCCATCTCGAGGATTCACTCTCTCTGGGTCGACCGTTGCTCATCGAAGATGTAGAGGAGGAGCTCGACCCCGTCCTCGATAACTTGCTGGAAAGAAATTTCATAAAGTCTGGGTCCATTCTCAAGGTATGCTTCAAGTGAATTCTTTACTAAATATTCATATTTTCTGCTGCTTACATTAGGAACTAGAAAATGTAGTACTTGTATGATAAATATCCCATGCAAAGGGGCGTTCTTGCTTTTAGAATTTACTAACTTTTCTCCAAAAGGTATTTGAGGAGGTAAATCATGGTAATTAATATACAGTGTATGTGGACTTTAGTAATGCTGTTGATAGAGTTCCACGTTGGAAATTGTCGGGGAAGGTAGAGGCACACGATGTATGAGAATTTTTTTTTCCTGGATAGAGGCGTAGTTAACAGATCGGCAACAGACAAACTGCGCAACACTTGGACATCTCTTTCGTGGAAACTTTTCGCCACACAGTGACTTCCTCAGTCCAGTACATAGAAAAATCGTTGAAGATCATAGGGAGTTTGAGGTAATCAGTCCCTGAACCTGAAGTCGATATAATCAGCTTATCAGTCTTGATAAGAATACAGCATATGCCCGAAGAAGGGGCTTATAGGCTGTATACAGGCGAGGTGAAGCAGTCGTAAGCAGTGTCACCTTGGACAAATCTACAGGTGGAAGTGAGTCATGTTAGGCAAGCGTAGAATTCCCTGTAACAAGATCCCAATATATTACTGTGTCTGACAGGAATGTAGATAAATGGTTTAGAGAACTGAAAAGTTGGTAAATTAAACACATGTGCAACACTTGTGTATCTTTATTGTGGAAACGTTTACACTGTGTGGCGAAACGTTTCTACAGTAAAGATATCAACGTGTTACACATGTGTCTAATTGATCAACTTGTCGGTTGTCTGAACCATTTATCTATAACAGAGTTTGCATAAATAGGTAGAAATCAAAGTGGGGACGTGTCTCAAGCGGTGTTCCACAGGGATCAATGTTGGACCCTTTGTTGTTCACTGTATACGTAAACGACATAGATGAGGGAACAAATAGAACATAAGCAAGTTTGCCGATAACACCAAAATAGGCCGTCGGATTAATTCTGACGGAAGCGCTACAGGAAGATCTGAATAGTGATGCACTGGTCGGAAAAGTGGCAGATGCAGTTTTATATAGACAAAGACAAAGTTCTGAGCCTTGAAAAAGAAGAACCACGGCACTAATCAACTATATAATGTATATCTCAATCAATGAATGCGAGCAAGACTTAGGAGTTCTGGTTAGCAGTAATCTAAAAACCCAAGACAGCAGTGCGTAAGTGTTCGCAATAAAGCGAATGGAGCTCTTGGCTTCATATCAAGAAATATAAATAACAAGAGTTCTCATTTAGATTATGCTGCACAGTTCTGGTCACTGTATTGCAGAAGGGACATCAATAACCCGGAGAAGGATGACGAAGTTGATCCCATGTACCAGAAATTTTTCCTACGAGGATAGACTGAGGGCACTGAATCTGCATAGGGGGATGTGACTGAGGTGTATAAATGGAAAACAGGAATAATTTAAGGGAATATATTTAACGTGCTAAAAAATATATAACCATGACAGGACTCGAAGCAATGGGTTCATGTTGGAAAATTTTAGATTTTGGAAGAATATAGAAAAATAGTAATGAGTTGTGGATGAGTGGAACAAACTCCCAAGTAGCGTCATTGAAGCTAAAATGCTTGAGTAGGTGGGTGTGAGGTGGACCTTCTTAGCTTGGGCCAATAGTCCTGCGGCAGTGCTTCTTCTTAAATGGGTGTAACTCGGACCTGCCTAGCATGGACCAGTAGGCCTGCTACAGTGTTTCTTATGTTAACAGGTTGTGGTAGGTGATAAGGAATGTGATGTGATGCCAGGTTTCATGCTGTACATCACCACCAAGCTCTCCAACCCGGCCTATGCTCCAGAGGTCTCCGCTAAGACAGCCATCATCGACTTCACTGTCACTGTCCATGGTCTTGAAGATCAGCTCTTAGGTAACAAACGTATTTATATATGATTATCTAATCATATGCTTGCTATCCGTTCCTCTTCTTACTCTGTCTCTCATCTCTTTCTAACCCTCCATCTCTCTTTTCCTTATGTTTCTCTCTCTCTTAACAAAGAATTTTGCAAGGTTAGCTTTAAGGTTTCTAACTTTATTTACAAGTTAAGAGCGTTATCTACATCAGCTCATTTAAAAGCTTTTTTAATGTTAAAAGATATACTGATGGGGAACAGGATGTAGTTGATGCCATCTGTGGGCCAGCGATTTCATTTGGTCATCTGACTTTATTTCGTTGATGTTGTGCTGTACGAACATGTTCCAGATACGAATCTTCCTAGGAATAAATGATCTCAGGCAAAGTGATGTTCTAGAGAAGGATACAGAGTGTAGTTCCTGTTTATTGCTCGTTTTTTTTTATGTTGGAACTCAATTCTCTCTCTCCATGGAGTGGAATCAGTGTTGGCCTTGTACATAACAGTAAGGTCTCCTACATCCTCCCTGTGTTAAAGGCCCTTCTGAAATAACAGATCTGACCAGGCTGGGTCCAGGCACGAGATGAGTTGTTTTGCTGTTTTCTGTTCTATCAAGAAGTCGCAGATGAAATGGGGGCAGGTAATCCAAGAAAGTGGAACATGCTGGAGGTATTCACTGAGGAGGCATTGTGCGAAGCCAGCGACTCCTAGTGTTTGCTGGTCGAAAGCACTAGCAATATCCATTGGTACTACACAGCTGATGTTGGATTCATCTAGTGACTGGTGCTACATAGTGGAGAGGTTTAACAGCAGATCAGCAGAAAAGTGATCTTTTCTGAAGCATATTGACGGTCACAAAGAAGCGAGTGGTAGTTGAAAAAAGCTATCATCTGTCGTGAAATTATTGTCTCAAGAATTTTTCCAGTGATGAACAAAACTGACACTGGTCTGTAGTTGATGATTGTAATTACCGCTTTACTTTTCCTTTTATGTGAAAAAAGACTACAATTACTTCTTTCCACAGAGAAGACTATTTGCACCGTGCTATGCAATGCTGATAGATGCGAGTTAGAGATGATCCTAACTGGTCTGCACATCCAGTTAGCAATATTGGGCACACTTTATCTAGGCCCACAGTCTTTTCTCGTTCCAGGGATTAAAGGAGAAGATACACTTCATCTTGCCTTATTGTCACCACTGACAACTTTGACACAGTTTTTGCGGCTAGCAAAGGAGGGCCCCTTGCTGGATCAGGAGCTTGCATCTTGGTAACAAAGTGCTCGGCAAAAAGGGCAGCTTTCTTCTGACTGCTAGTAGAGATGGTCCCATCCTGCCGATTTAGAGGTGGAATAATTTCATCAGGTTCTTTACGAAGGACCGCCAGGTTATGGAACCCACTCTACCTGATGCAGGCTTTCTTTATGTGTTAGCCTTCCATCTAGAGAAGGCCCACTTTTGGACTTCTTTCGTTTGATAACAGGCTTGCCTGTGCAGGTTCCTGTTATAGATAATGGGATGCCTCTTATACCTTCTCCAAGCCTTGAACTTAGCAGTAGCGGCCTCTTAACAAAGAAAACCGAGCCAAGGCTGATCTGAAGGCTTCGTTACATACTGCCGGTGAGGGATGTGTTTTTGTTGGAGATTAAGGATGTGTTCATTCAAGGCATTCACTTGGTTATCGACACCAACTTGGAGAAGAGCATTCTAGTCGGAGGTGGCGAGCTCAGAGCAAAGGGCTGGCCAGTTTCCTCTTTCCTACAGCAGTTGTACGTGTACATTCTTTACCTCGTTCTGTTTGAATCTTCAGTGTCGTAAAAACAGCCTTGTGGTCAGATGATCCAACATAGCCAAGGGGTTGGCAAGTGACTATGCCCTCAGATCACTCACTATTGGGTCGAGGGAGGAGCCAGAGATGTGCGAAGGGAAATCAGCGAAGTTTCTCATATCAAACACTTCAAATCCTTCTGTATAAAGATGTTGATTGAGGTCATCATTAATTATAATATGTTGACGTTTATGTTGAAATAGAAGGAAGTCTACATTTTCCATCTGGAAGTTGATGAGGGTTCTGCCTGTTGCCACTGTGGTCTGTACATTGCACACGCTAGCACAGAGATGCTAGTGTTTATGTCTGTCTATCTGTCTGTCTGTCTCTGTCTCTGTCTCTGTGACTTAAGAAATCGTAATGACACGATTGCAAATAAACCATACCCCCGGCCGGGATTGAATCCTATGGTGTAGAAATATACCTAGTTGGATGAATCTTATTGTGGCTAGCTGGTCTAGTGGCTAGCGCGACGGGCTGGAGTTTTGAGACTCTATGACCGCGGGTTCAATCCCGGCCGGGGGTATGGTTTATTTGCAATCGTGTCATTACGATTTCTTAAGTCATGTTGACGGCAGTGAAGGGACTTGAGCTAGAGTTCGTCACGGCCACGCTAGCTGGAGATTCGTCTGTAAAAACTTGCATTTGTGGTCACAGAGGTGCCTGTGCTAACTTTCCTATGGTGTAGAAATATACCTAGTTGGATGAATCTTATTGTGGCTAGCTGGTCTAGTGGCTAGCGCGACGGGCTGGAGTTTTGAGACTCTATGACCGCGGGTTCAATCCCGGCCGGGGGTATGGTTTCTCTGTCTCTGTCTCTCTCTCTCTCTCTCTCTCTCTCTCTCTCTCTCTCTCTGTATGGTAGGTAATACTTTCAGAAGTGATAACTCATTTCAGCACAACTAGGACAGCACACACTTGCTTAGACTTGAAGAGCAGACGTATGTGATGTCCTGAACTAGTGTATTCATTGTTGTTTCTACATTGCATTCTTTGTTATATGTAATATAACGTTTAAATAATTTCTATTTTTAACTCAAAGACTGTCTCTGGCCGCCAAGCAAACAGCCTTATAGTAAATACCTTTTAATATCCATGTTTGAATGCACGTTTTATTTTAATTACTTGGCCTTTAAATATTATTATAATAATATGTTATTATCGCAGTCTTAGTAAAATATAAGCATTGCCTACCTTTTCCATTTTCTATATCATTACGGGCCTCTGTAGTTTTCCCTACCCGCCACAGGATAGCTGTGGGTTCACTAATATATCTATAGATCTAAGACTACCTGTAATTAGAGGCTTCTCAATTCCCTTGTTGTGTATATTTGATTATGTTGTAAGGAAACTTTAAAAAATATTACTTGTTTTTTCTTTCTATTCTTCTATAATTAAATTGCATTTTAAGATTATGCAAAATCAAGATTCTTATTTATTTACATTTAATTTATGCCAGAATATTATTTTTTGCTTTTGTTTTTGCAAATAATTTGATTCCCACCATTTTAATCATATTTCTTTCCATAGGTCATATAAAAATCGTCATATCATTAAGAAACAGCTCACTGATAAAAATTAATAATAATATTTTTTCAGAACATCGACACCATGCCTAACCCTTCTAGGGTAGGGTAGGTGCCTGAGCCCGAGCCTTTAGCTCATAAGACTGTCATTCCCATTTGCCCCCTTGGGGCGGGGATGGCAGACCAGAGAGGCCTAGCTTGTGGCTAGGCCTGGGGACAGTTGGTCCCAAAGATGAGGAGGTACTTGTGCCTCCTCCCATGGGAGACTTAGGTCTCAGACACTCCCTAAAGAGGGAGCCAAGGCCGGGCCACCACTTGGACAAGGCCCGGGCCGGGAGAATACCGGCGAATCTTTAATAATAATAATAATATTTTTTTCAGTCGTGTACCTGTACCGTAGCAGTTTATGATTAATACCACTGAGAAGCGACCTTTATGTTAAACAAGATTAATTATTATACCTGACAGGTCGGGTGATCAGAACGGAGAAGAGCGAACTAGAAAATGAACGAGTGGCCCTGATAGAGGAGGTGATGGAGAATAAGAGGAGGATGAAGGAGCTAGAAGACAACCTTCTCTACCGCCTCACTTCAGTACAGGTAATACAGTTAGTCAGTGGGGAATACAGTGACAACACCAGGTTCTTGGTCAGACTCCTGCAGCCTCTTCCTCAACATGTCGTTTGTACAACAACAACAATAATAAATAAATAATAATCTTTCTACAAATTACAGTATACAATTGATCTAGGAATAGTTGACATTTATGTCATGCTTTAAAGGAAGTCACTGGTTATGCAAAGCATTTCTGGCAGCCTTAAAATTAACTTATAACTGATGAATGATTAAGTAAGTTGGTTCACAAGAATGTTAAACTTTCCAATCTTTGAAATTAATTCTTAATACTTTGGTTTATGTTTATAAGAGTTTTTTTTTTTTAAATAATTTGTTATAACGTTTGCAGTTGGGTTATTACATAATTCACATACAAATACATAACTATAAATACATATTTTTTGTGCGTTAATCCTGTCATCCAATAATTTGTCTATATGCTTAATTAATCTAAATTTCTCCATTTTCCAAGTTCCTCAAAATTCTGTCGATCACCGACAGCCTAATTGTTCTGAGATTCTCGCCGAGATTATCAGACGGATGACAGAGCCTCCCTCATCATGTGCTGTGAATGACCTACACTGACTTAGCGCTTCGCCAAGCACATTACTGTACACTGATTTCTTAACATTAACACCATCCCTCCATACCCTCCCTCTCCCAGTTTCATCTTTCTCACAACTCCTATTCCTCAGCTATGAGTCCACTCTGGTTAGACTGACTTAAGCCTCTTTATATTCATGGCTAATTGTGGTTTTAAGCTGAATGCTGTGTACTAGAGAAATGGTCTTTTAAATGTATAGTGTACAGTGTTTTTAATTATTTTCTCTTTAGGTTTCTAAAAGTAGTTCTTAAATTTGCCAATGTTTCATTTACTATTGATATTACCTTGTTTATGTGC